ACTCTGGTAATAGCTCTTCCCATCACATCTTGACCTTGAATTGATGATTTTTTTGTTAGTCCTGTTTGGAAATCATTTCTGCAGGCACAATTCATAGGTCAGCTTGCAGAAGAAACTGTCTCAGATTTTACCAGTGGCTCTACATTCAAACGATTCATGTATTCAAGACACTGTAGGGGCAGGTATATAGTGTCCCTCTTTGTGTCATGTGAGGCTTTAAACCTTACCCTAGTTTGTTTTTGAGCATAAATAATAAGATGCGCCTCTGAGGCAGGACTTACTACCTTAGGTTTATTCTATGATGTAATATATGGTGTGGTAACTTACAATATATAGTGTAGAAAGCTTTGCATTTTGTAAAAAAGAAATATTCAATGTTTATTAGAGTTGTTTGGTGAGGTTGTGCTTTCCATGCACAGAAGCTCTGCCCCTTTGTATGTTAACCTTCAGGCTGTTGTTGGGTACTTTTGAAAATACAAAGTTTTGGTACAATCAAATTCAATGGCAATCCCTCCAACCCCCCTTCTCTACATTACTACCTTAACAACTTACAATCTTCTCCACAGAAAATATACTGAGTTATTCTTGGGAGCCATGCTATGAAATGAAATTTAAAGGCTGAAACTTAATGACACCTGAAACAATATTTGACTTGATTTCTTTCTTTGACCATCATTTAACTTTGGGTCACCCTGCCACACAGTACCCTTGCCTTCAAAAAATTTCCAGTCATTGAAAGAAAAAAATATTTATTGAAAATGGAGATTTATAATTATAAACACAGACAGCTGTCCCTACGGATTTATCATAACAGAACTTATGCGAACAGTTTTTAAGAAAAGGCCTCCTCTCCATGTAAGAGACTGTTTCAGGTACATACGACCTGTCAGTGCACTATTCAGTAGGTTGCAGAACTCCGATATGAAATCATTACAGTTAGCGCAGGAGAGGAATTCACTAAAAACACAGGACACAGATATACAATTTACAATTGTCAAGCAATGACATGACTTCAAATTAAGTGACTGTAAAGCAAGTACTGAGTCTGTCCCAACAAGTAGGAATCAAAATATAATGCAGCATATTTTGCTAATAGAAGGAAATGAGAATACAAAAAAACAATGGCATAAAGCCAATTGTAAAGTTACAATCACCTTTAAAACCTTTAACAAGTTTTCACCTTTAACAAGTTAAAAACTTATATTTCAAATAGTCATAGTGAACTCAACCTCCATTAAATGTCACTAGAACAGAGTAGAGCACAGATAGAAAGTACTGTTTAAGCTTAAAAAGTCTAGATTTATGAGCCACATGGAATTGGGTCAGATTCTGTGTCCATAAAATACACGGTAAGTTACAAATGATAAACTGTTAGTGAAAAAATGATAGACAAAAACAATGCTCCAAAAAGGTGTGAAGCTGTAAGTAACATAAAATAACATATAACATAATTAAAATTTTCAGCATTTGAGAGCATTCACATTATTCACTTTCAGAAGAGCTCTCATCTCCTGCTGTTGAGTCACTGTGCTCCAATATTCCAATGGCTAATATCAAGTCTTGCTGAAGAGATTCTTCAAAGTAAGACTTCTTTTCCTTCATCACGTGTTCAGGCAAAGAATATTTTCTCTTGGGTTGCTCACCTTTGGGAAATATCTCATCCCATCGAGAGGGTCTAATAGGCTGTAAATGTTCAACCACAGAAGGGACTGAACCACCTCGTAGAGCAATTGATCCAAGTTTTCTCATAAGCTCACACCGTTTGCGGAAGATTTTCATACACATTTCCGCAGTAAGAGTCTTCACCTCTCTACACAAAAGAAAAGGATTATTTTATTAGATTAGCACACTACATGTCACTTATTATTCCTATTCGAAGTAATTCTAAAACATGACTTACTCGTTTTTCAATATTACACATGCTGGCACAGTTTTCCAAGAATCTGATGCAAGTCTATTCAATAATTGGTTCAGCCTTTCTGCTTCAGTCAGTGCACGGTTATAGTCAACGTTATACTTTGATGGATCATAGTCACCACAGCCATCCCAGTCAGTACCCAAAAAGTTGGCATGACTGTTCAAAAAGTGAACCTTTTTTTGACATCTACGCTTGGTCCAATCTCTCCGTGCAGCCTTGTAAGGTTTTCCACAGAGCACGCATAGGTCTCTGTAAACTTCTTGTACAATCTTGGACTTGTATGGGACAGCCTTTGGAAGGGTAGCCGTAATGGAGCAGCACTAAAACGTATGAAGACATATTAAACCTTGTGTCAAAAATAACAACTTACCATATTTGTACACAGAGTTCATACCTTGGATTGAAACCACTCTTCATTACTGAATTGGGGCAAGGTTCTTTTGCCGTAATCCCACATTAACTCACAACCTCCAGAGACCAGTTTGCATTCACCCCGCACCAAGTGCTTTGCAGATCCATGTGACACCTGCCGAACAATAAGACTAGCAGTTTTTGTAGGTGCCCAATTAGAGTAGGACACAGGGCCCCCCAAATATTGATTTTTCTCCTTGATATCACTGCGTAAATAGAGATGCAATGATGGACAACTGTCGGAGAAGATAGCCTTCCATCCAACTACGATCTGATCAGCAGATCTCATAGTTACTCGGATAGGCAGATCTTCTCTGACTCTCAGGCGGTACCCAAGGTTGGGTTGGGATTTATCATAAAATACTTCTAGTATTCCAACTAGGCTTCGCCACATATTCTCAATTTGATCATGCAACATTAACATCATGCCTTGGGAGAGACCAGTACCTGTAGGATCAACCAACAAAAAAAAAACATTTCAACGCAAGTTCATTCTCAAAGAATGGTGTTTAACACAGCTTGATAAAAATATTCACAAAATAAGAGAGTACTTACCAGGTTCATCTGGTGGCTCGATGGAAGAGCAATTTCTTAGAGGCACTCTCATGTACTTTTGAGCACACTCATTATCAAAGCGCCATAGCTCTCTCAGTTGACGTGGGGTTGGAGCCAACATAACCTCATCATCGGCGCCGGCACTATGAGGCAAAGAAGAAAAAGTACTGATATTCCACTCAATAGCTCAAAAGGCAATTTGATCTATAATATGAAAAATTAAAAACAACATTGTTATCAAACCTAAGTTTAAGTCGCTTCGTAGAAGCCGACATGGTGCTATCTTCTAATCCGCTCCAGACAACTTGAACGTTCAAGCTGCAAGCCGTTCAAGCAGACAAATTACCAGATCCCAACAAGCGGCGGGAAACTCATGCACCAATCCTGAACGAGCGTGTTCTATCCGCTACGCATGTTCCTTTGTTGGTTCAATTAAATTTAAATATTTTGTAACAAATTACAGTTTCTTAGATGTGAAACATTTATTCTGAAAAGAGATTCGTTATTATATTATACTGCCTCTTTAAAATGTCTCATAACTGAATGAAAGTAAAAGATTGACGTTTCCGACGTCACCCGGCCCGCCCTTTCAGCCTAAGCAGCTATAAGTATTTTACTGCTTAGTTGTTAACAGCCATGTTCTGGCATGAGTAAGAAAGTTTACTTAACATGTCAGTCTATCTATTTTTTACTTGAATGTACAGCCAGTCGCCAGTGAGATCACATTGAAGCTCAGTTACCTAATTCCGACACGGATCCATCGGACTACACGAGGATTGCCTCCAACTACAACTACGACAACGCTCCACCATCCGCCACCTATCCTCTTCATCCTCCTTCCTTAGCGAGCGGTTGCGTGTTCCTCAAGAAAGGTTAAGCCTCTTTGAATGAAAATCATGTTCAATAAAAGTAAACCTTCGACCAACAAGAGGCATAGTGCCCCTTCTGCTGCCGTGAGTATCCTTACATTGTATTTCTACTTTACCTTTTCAATAAATTGCCTCCGTAGGAGGTTATCTTGAGCCGCCCACGTTACACAACCGTAACCAGAGTTAGGTAGCTATCTATGCCGTAACTCTTGAGTGGGTGTCACTCTGTCCAAAAATATACATTATTTAGTAATCGGTATGTCCCTGTGCGACCTGTAGTGCAAAAGACAGCATTAGAACTCTGAAACTTAAGATTGAGGGAGTGAGACGCCTCGGCTCATTCATTCTCATTGGCAGTCCAATGCATGGCACGTGTTCCTTAATTTATTCCATTCATTCAGTTATTCATTTTGGAAGTCAAACTATTGTCTTGCAACTTTCAACTTCTTTGGACGCTAGCTTAATATGTAGTTTTTTTGGCTCCTGTGAAGTTCTATATGTTGTTAAAGCTCCGAAATCTTACAAGAGCTCTATAGATGCAACAAATTAATGCGGAAAGAGAGTAACTGCAATGTAACATGTCGGCACCTTATATCATCCTGGTAATGCTTTGCTTGTTTCAGGCGGGAAGTCAGGCACAGCTTATGATGATGCCGACGCCTCCAGGAGCGCCGGCAGTATTCTATCAGTGGGCTCCGCAGCCCTCTTCTTCTCAAGGTGGGTAGTATTCCATAGTTGTTTGTTACTAGGGGTGGAAATGGAAATGAGATGTTATTCTCTGGATTTTAATTACTGTTGGAGACGAAGGGGCAATGATCAACTTAAGATACCATGTTTGGCTTCCTATAAACTCATCAGGTTTTCTGGAAATATTTGCCTGACCTGGGACTTAGTTGCAACATTTTCTAGGAAATTAAATGTATATCGTGTGCATCTAATTCTTTGAAACTAGTGGCTTTAACTCTTCAAAACAGCAAATATTATGAACCATAATTAGTATTTGTAGACACACTTCTGGTACAAGGGGCACTCATCACCATTAACCAGTAACGCGAGAATATTATTTCATTCCAATTTCCACCCGTGATTATTACTAAAGAAGTGGTATCGTTAAAACTTGTTAGTAGAGCAGGCAAATAAGGGCATTTCTCCTTCTGTATCATTGCCATTCAAGAATGTTCCCATTATGGCATGTCAAATTTGATACCTTCCTTTTTTGCAACGTGGCTTCCTTTTTGATTTTTTCAGGGGGACCGATGTATGTCCAGCCAAATTTCGTACCAGCACCGCCTACACCAGCACCCAAGCCATGGGAAGATTCATCGGACGACTCTGATATGGAGCCTCCCAAAACAAGTAAGTATATGTTTTTAATTTTGATTCCTGAACACAGTATCAAGGTTTTCTTATGTCTCTGTAGTTAAGGAAAATTACGAGAAAGAAACACTCTGTGGGAAGGTGGACATACTGCCTTCATATCATAGTAAAGACAATATCTAATTGTTTTTAGGAAAGAGGGAAAACTCTACCTAGTTTTAGGGAAACTACTCAGATTTTGACCAAGTCCTTTCAAAAACATATGGGAGTTTTTCTTCTTTTCTGAATACTTTCTCAATCAGTGAAGTTTCCCTCAAACTAACGGGGTCCCTTAAAGTTCTCTCTTTTTAAAAAAGTCAGTCATTGAATATTTCATTTATCTTCTATTACTTTTTTGCTTTCTTGCATGAAGCATTTACTGTATTGGTTGGTTTTATTCAAAATTTTACTTGCATGAAGCAGAATAAGGTAGCTAGAATGAGATGTTCAGTCGTGGACTAGTCACTAATTTAAACTCTTCTTTTCATGTAATTTTATCATAAAGTTTAGAAATTAATTCACCCTTTACTTTTCAGAGAAGAAGTTGAAGTCTGAAGCATCTTCACTTGGAAAGAAACGTAAGCCTGAGTGCCCATCTATAATTGTTAAAATTGTGAAGCATTTAGTCAAAGTCTAAAATTCTAAATATTTGTTGCAGGTGGTCGGCCCACGAAAAAATCCTTAGAGGATAAGAAGAGAGAAGAATTTCTTGCGAGTCTCCCTCAACTACCAGAAGGAGAAGACCAAATGCTTGGGTACAAGAAAAAGGGAGTCTGCAAGGCCTGCCAGTTGTATAAGGGACTAGTGGCTCTTAAGCCTTGCGGCCATGCGAAGATTTGTATTTCTTGTGTCCGGGACGTCAGGGAGAGTGCTGAGAAAATGTTCAGGCATTCTAAGTGCCCAGTAACTGGATGCTTTGCCCAGATTACTGATTGGCTACCTTTATTTAATGTAAGTGCCTAGTTTCATATTATTTTGTTCTCAAGCTTTCTTACAAGAAGTATTTGCTGAGTATTTTCTTTTACCTTCAATTTTGTTTAACAACATTCTTTTTTATAAATGACAACAATTTCTGAGATCTTGTGCATGAAACATCTTTTTTAATAAAGTTCTTATGTCAAAACAAATGTGCTATGATTTATCCGCCGTTTTGGATTTCTTTCCAATTCCAACATCTCCAATAATGCCACATTCATTCAAAGTGTGAGTAGCTGTGACACAGTACTATCTGATACCTACGCAATTGTCCACAAGGGCGCTTCAGGGTGTTTATTGCTGATAAATTGAAACTTCAAATTCTTGTTAACCAAACCCTCTCAACATTTTTTGAGCATAACATTGCAAGGGATTCAGAAGCATCACGCCTACTCGACGCAATGAATGGGTGGGAAAATCAGGCGTATAGGATGCAAGTTGTAGTCCAGCAACTTGCAGGGAAAAGCACTGCATAACCCTGTAGTGCGCGTGACTCTTCCCGGTCCAAAAGGAATCAAGGCACATACATGGGCATCGGTTCATTACAACAATTTTAATTTTCTTCAATAATTAAGTGTGACCTTATCTTTAAACAATCAAGGGAATTACGTAACATACTCTCATCGTAAGAGAACTGGCGGTGAAAAAAAAAAGCACTGCTTGGACCCACAACAGTGCATCCATGCCTGACGTTGCGATTGTGCAACTTAAGCCAAAGCTCTAGGTTTGGAGGTGATGCGAACTCCCAACTACTGCGACACTAGATACCTCGATACATATATACCATACAATGAAAAATAGATTCAGAAATTGTAAAACTGTTTACTGATTCCCAGTTGCCGAAATTTGAATTAATTATTACAATCCGCTGAGAAAGGGTCAAATATGTATCATATTTGTTTCGTACATGAGCGGAACATGACTCATGTACCAGGTGGCTGATTCACGCCGCGCACTCTTGTAGTTATACTGTACCGCATGCACGCGTGCGGGCGGGTTGCCTAATCGCTCGGGGCCGCAAGGAGCCGTGGGCAGCGAGGATAGGTAAGCCCGCCCGCACCCGTGCATGCGGTACAGTATAACTACAAAAGTGCGCGGCGTGAGTCAGCCACCTGGTACATAATGGTGAGCACGCCAGCTGCAGGAGGATGTGAGCAAGTACAGGCGATGGCGCACTCCGCCTGCTCGCGCTGACGCGCGCGTGCACCTGCTGTCGTCCCACAGTTTGCTTTTCCAGTGCAGAAAGTATGTCCGATTTTCT